TTACCAAAAGCCTATAGCCATTCTTTTCAACTAAAAAAAAGAGAGCAAGGGTTTTGTTCGACCTTTTTTGAGTTTTCTCCCTTTAAAGGCCCTTGGCCGCCAATGAAAAATGAAAAGATAGAAAGCAAAGAGGAATCAGAAAGAGAGAACAGAGAGGAATTTGAGAGAACCTACTGGTGCCCTAGCCATAGAAGAAGAAATCAGAGGAGGGGATGCAATCAGAGGAGTCAGCCAAAATCGTGGTGGTTGTTAATAATTCCATTAGAAATCAACAAAAGCTTCAATTACTTCTCCTTTGCTGTCTCCAACGAAAACCATCTAAGTCCATTTTTGTCCCTTCTTCGTCTTTCATTTTTTATTCGATAAGCTCATCTAAATTTGCTTATAGGTGGTTTCGTATCCAAAGCCTTCACGAGCTAATGGAACAATTAAGTCCCGTGGCTAACTTCAAGCTACGGGAAATATTTTTATGGCTAAACCATTTAGTTACGGGATTTTCACTATTTAGTTATAGGATCTCTTGAAGCTGTAGATGTAAAATGTAATAGTGATAATTTGCTTTTTCCATTCAAAACCCAATTCTCAGAATTCAGGTTAGGTATCCTCATAGTAAGTTTTACATTATTGGACTTAAATCCCATTCCTCTTGAGTTTTTCCTCCAACTTTAGTTTTTACCAAAGGCCTAGTTGGTGGAATAGTGGGTAACAAAGCGATTTAACTCATTCTTTTTCTCACTTTTTCTTTTTACATCAACCCACATGTCTAATAGCTCATAAAATTTGCATTCATATTTTCACTCACTTTCACTGCAAGAGAACAAGCAAAGGCCAGCATTTTTTTAGCCAAACTCAGCATTTAAAAAGCTATTAAAAGTCACTCCGTCGTTTCTTGAAACGTTACTAGTACACCGGCCTTGTAGCTATCGGCTTTTGTATTTTTAGCATTTTAAAAAACGCTAAAATAACCCACTCTAAGGCCACATTTCTATGAATGCTGATTTATGTCCCAAAAAACATTGGTAAAGCCCAAAATTTTCTTATTTGGTGGCTTCAGGATTAATTTCTATTCCAGCATTTTTAAACACTAGATTTTGTTATTTTTCTAATTTTTTAGGCAAAATTCTTTTTTTTTTTTTTAAAAAAAAAAGATATTTGCACTTGAAACATAACTAAATTCAAAAGAACACACTCATAACCAAAAGTATCAATCATATATTATTGAAATTAACATCATACAGTTAACTAAATTCATGACAACTTAAAATATTAACATTCAAATTCAAAATAAACAACCTCCATTCATATTTACCCAAGACGTAAGTAGTTACTAATATGAGCCTAAAAGCTTGAGGATGAAAGGCACTAGTCAAGAACTAGACCACCATGGCGGGAATGAGAAGAAGGTACTCGCCGATGACCCTAAATCAAATGGTCAAAAGAGAAATCAATTAACTTAATTTTCCAAATCAATTCCCAAATAGCCACAAATTATCCAATCCTCATATTACTAAAATACATTAAGCAAATTATAATGAAAGTGAAAAATTCAACAGCAAAAATGAGTTGCGTTGCACTTGCATGAGCACACTAGGTAGCTCTAGCCTACAGCTAGACATCATCTTATGAAAAAATTAGCATATAAGCTTGAATTTCCAAGCTTAACAAACCCTACATGCATTATAACTCTCTAGCACTTAATGGCACAAAATAACTTCATAACATAACTAAAATTGAAGAAATTACTTACAGGAGTACTATTTGTAGCTACATCTTGAGGCATTGCCATGTGTTGCATCAATAAATCTAACTTTTCGTGAAGGGATTGGATCATTCCTCGTTGTTCAACCACCTCTCTTTGCAGCTTCTCAAATTCTTCATCCGTGTGGATTGTGGAAACTCTAGGACTAAACACTCGTGTTGGGGTTGGTCCCAACCCTAAGCCTCGTACTCTTCCAGGGCGCTCATTTCCCAATACCTCAGACATAATTTCCAAATCTTCTTGATATGAATCTGTTGACTGTGTTCCTGACCTTTCAGCCTTTTTTGCTCTTGCCTTTTCCTTTTGGAACAAAAACCCAGCAAAGACAAGAGTTAGGTACTTGCAAAAAAAAAAAAAAAAATGGTTGACATTATTGTTCAAGAAATATTACCAATAAAACAGGAATCTCAGGGTCAAGATAGGACCCATTCGTACGAGTGTGGGTTACTTCATAGACTTTAATTCTTCCTACATTGCTTCCGGCTGCCTCATTCTTTAAAAATGAAAATCAATTTAGTTTAGCATAGGTGTAATGTGAAAAACTCAAAGTGGACATGTCCTATATAATTTGTATCAAAATTTTATATTACTGAAAAAATGAACGGACAACAATCTATAAAAAGTTAGTACCAGTTCATCTTCCACCCTTACAAAACTTTTGCTGCCTGAGGTGTGGGTAATCTTTTGGTAGGCCCTGCTTCGTTTTGTAGCTTCTTCAATTCTCTGCAGCTTCTTCAATTCTCTGCAAAATTAAGAAGACAATTATGTTCACATGTCGAACATCATGTGTCAACATCTCATGATGAAAGATGAAAAATGACATACCTTTCCCTTATCACTCATCCAATAACTAACCAAATATTGCCATTGGTCAGCTTGTACATCAGCTGGGCATTTTTTGAGGTTGAATTCTACTGATTTATTACGGTAGAAATACTTAGACTTCAATAAGTTTTTATAACTCCTCCATTTGGAAACCATGCTTTCATTACCCATAAGTCAATGCTAGCTGGGTATAAGAACTTTTGTTGCAGCATAATCATTACTAGTATTGAAAGCTTGAATAAGAATGGAAAATAGAATTACAAACATATTGTACTTTTAGAATGTTAATCAAATGGAGCTTCGTGCCTTTTGGAACCTTTGGCCAATTTGGATAATTTAAAGGACAATGGTTTCTAACCAACACTCCAATGTAGTTAGTAAATGTTTTGGTAGAATCTTTCACCGGCTGTCCAAATCTATTTGCTCTAACACGAAGTCTTTGGTTAGCAGGTAGTCTCCATACATCTTCAAGAACTGTTTTTCCTCTCCTTCTAATAGAAGAACCTCCATTGCTATTATTATCTATATCTCACAAAAATTTATGGTATATAAAATCAGGCAATACCCAAGGCCTAACTTTTCTAAATCTCAAAAAAGAGGCAGCAAAACATGGTTGAAGCATTCACTAACCTGTAGGTTCTTGACTGTTTGTAGTAGCATTTATGTTAGCATTCTCACCACTCCCATTTTGCCTAGTATTGGATGTCTCAGCCAAAAGTATGATTGTGTCAAACCTCTTCCTGCTTCTTCCCATGATAATGTAACCTGAACTAGATTGTTAGATAATCCAAAAAGGAGAATATAAAATGAAAAAAATTCTACTCAATCCAAAAACATTAAAACCATTTCATTACAGTAAACTTAAAAGGGCCTTGGGACCTATAAAACTTACTGCACCATTTCATTCTAAAGTAGCAAATAAAGTTAAAAATTGTAAAGCAACAATTACAAGCAATCAATGGAGAAAAAGAAAGAAGAAGCACTGCATTAGTTGATCAGATTACACAATTGTTCCTTCAATGTCATTGCGCGCACTGCATTAGTTGATCAGATTATACAATTGTTCCTTCAATGTCATTGCGCGCCCAATTATGTAATTGTTCATCCTCCATATTGGAATCCTCTAATTGTGGCAAATGAATGCACAAATTATCATTTTGGCCATAATTAGATTCTCCTCCTTTATCTTCATTTTGGTCACCCAAAGCAAACACCTGTCTTGGTGTTGTTTTCAAGACAACATGCCAATCTTTATCTTCAGGATCTTGAACATAAAATATTGGTTGCCCTTGAGATGGAATAACAAATGGTGCATGGCTTATGCTCACCCCTTCGTACATCAAGTGTTTAAAGTTCACAAGTGTAAAACCAAGCTCATCTATCTTAATACCTCGACCCCTAGTTCTAACATCTACCCAATCACCTTTAAATAACACAACCTTGATACCACCATCATAGTCTGACTTAAATACATCCGCTAAAACACTGTAATGCTCAACATCACCTTCAACAGGATAGTTGTCCTTCCTTGAGGCATAACTTTTGTTTTTGAAGTGACAAGAATGCCACTATTTTGGGTTCTAAGATGAAGCTCACGATTTTTAGTGTGAAATCATGTTCCATTGAATATAAAGGATTTGTATCTAGCAACTAACTTATTTGGACCACCGGCAAGCATCTTTATCATAGGGGATACATCTCCCTCATTCAAATTGGATACCTAAATTGAAAGACAAAAAAGTTAATAATTATATAGAAATGTTGTCTTAATGTTTAATTTTAATTACCTAAGTTAATTTTAACTACTTACATGGTCTGCAAACCATGAATGAAATTGTTCATTCTTCATTTTATTAATTTCATGCTCCTTTGGGTGTTGCGATCTGTTACGTGACTTCACTTCCTTCACAAATAACCTATCTATAAAAAACTATGATAAACTAGAACTGAAAGGATTTATAATAATTATTATTTTTTATTTAAAAGATTTGAGTTAACTTACTCAACAAATGGGAGGACCTCTTCATGTTGAAAGAGCACATAACGATGTGCTTGTGCCCATGTTAACAGAATCTAACCTCAACATTTGTACTTTACCCATTGCTCTCCCACCACTTGAGAGCAAATAATTAGCACCGATTTCCTCATTTCCTCAAAGTTGTCCTCATTCCTTCTTGGCCTATTGAATTTTGTCTCGATTCCCTCAAGATACCGGGAACAAAATGTGGCACATTCTTTGAGCCAAATAACCTTCAGGATAATTATTGTTTTTATTGTAATTCTTTAACCTCAGCCAATACCTAAGCAAGGACAATTACAAGTAAATTAAATTATGGAAACTTTGATATGGAGTATGATACTATTGAATAGATTATTTACCTCTCAATTGGGTACATCCACCTGAATGGGATAGGACCAGCAACCTTGGCTTCATTATGAATCACCAAGTGAACCATGATTGTGAAGAATGAAGGAGGGAAAATTTGTTCCAAGTGACAAAGAGCTAATATTACATGTGATTTCAATACCTCTAGTTGCTGAACATCTAGTACTTTAGAACATATACCTTTGAAAACATTACAAACCTCAATAATTACTTTTGTCACATGTTTGGGCAATGATTTCCTTAATGCTACAGGAAGGATATCTTGCATCAAGATATGATAATCGTGTGACTTAAGACCCTGAAGTCTATGCTCCATTACATTCACATAATTTGAAATATTTGAGGCA